AAACTCGCGTTTGCCCCACTGCTAGTAGCCCTATCGGGCGGTTGCGCAGCAGGATTCAAATTCCACTCTCCTGCTGGCGTCCGCATCCCAACGGTTTTCTCTACCGAGAACATCCGCCCCTCAAGCTTGTCCAAGTCCTTAAGGATCTCATCCTCGGAAGCAGCATGGCTCCTGTGGATGGCCTCACGATTCTCTTGAATCATCTGACGAAGCCGATCAGTTGCGTCCTCATTGCCCTTAACAGATTCATGAACCTCGTGAGAAAGCAGATTGATCCTCTGATCCACGACTTCAGCCTGTTCATCGATGGCTTGCCTCACAATGGCCTTGCTGTCAGGAATAACTTCGCTGGCAAACCGTTGAACTATCATTCGCATCCTACCGGCATCAGATTGAGTCGCAACCTCAGTCGCCAAACGGTTGACCCTGTCCTTCGTCTGCTGATTCTCGTCGTTCCACTCCTTTCGCATGGAACCCACCTGACCGTTCAGTAACCTGATTTGGTCAGCAAAGATATGGAACGCTTTCGCGACTGAACTAGATACCTCACCCCTCTCGAGCATCTCCTGGACGTGTAAATCAAACACCTCCTTTGCCCTGGCGTCACCTGACTCACCGGAAGAATGGGACCTGTGTGCTGGAGGAGTCGATATCTCGATCCTCTCAGGAGCCCCACTAGCTTTAGCAAGTCTTCTGGGGTCACCTACAGGACCTTCACCTATCCTGGATGGCCTGCTAGGGGTATAGATCCCCTTCTCCGGCTATCGCCAGATCGGGGATCAATGTTGGATGCACGAGACTCGGGAGTAGAGTGAATGTGAACATCAGCAGGATCAGGCATCTCCTCATCCTGCGGAGTTGAACCCATCGGTGAGGGGCTAGCCCTCCTCGCCTTTGACCTATCGGTCTCAATGGCCAGGGGTGACGGCCTCTTCGCAGAAGCACTACGTTCCCTGGCGGTCGAGCCCCATTGAGGTGTGAACTCGTTGCTAGACCTTAGCGTTTCAAGGTCACTGGTATCTCGCCCTAACGGGCTAGCGATCGACGGACGATCTTCGATTCCTAGTGCATCGGCAAGCCGACCATCTCTTGCACCTGTCCCAACGACATCGGCAGCCCGTTCAGTGATCCTCGGCGAACCAGTAACCCGGTTCGAGCTCTCGTCTCTCTGATGCAGCGGACCTCCAAATGTAATATTGGGGTAGGGGGGAACATTCGGGGTATCACCAATCACTGGGGGACCTATCGGTCCCTCCCGGTCATGGATGGCCTCCAATCCCCTAAGAACTTCCCGCCTATCCCTGGCTCTCTCTCTCTCGCTCCGGGCGTCCCTGTCAACATGAAGGTCCCTGGCAGCTCCACGAGAGAGGCTCCTGGGCCTCGCGGCAGCACGGATTCTAGCGTTCCGGCGCGACTGATCCTCTTCTTCATCACGACGATCCGCAAATGCGGCATAATCTTCATCATTATCAAACTCAAACTCGGCAGCAACAGGGTTGGGCCTATCGGCATCAGACTCCTGCGTTGCGCTACTGCCCCAGCCTGCGGTTGACTTCAACAGAGCATCGTATCCGAAGCCTGTGAATTTCCTCTCCTCATGCTCATCAAACTGACCTGGATTTTGAGAACCAGTGGATCGACCCGAGATATCTCTCGGAGCCAAAACCATAGTCCCTGGTCCTTGCGGCCTGTTCTCAAACTCGTCCGAGACCTGCGATTCACCTGGAACAAGAGATCTCGGGGGTCGGATCGGCATGGCCTCCGGGTCGTCCGAATGAGGGCGGGCCATATTCATTGCCATGCTGATGAAGTCGAACTGTCCGCGCCTGTGACCTGATTCAGAGCCGCTCCTATCGGAGCGAACCCTTCGTGTTTGCTCATCATCAGTGGCCTGACGGAAAATGCGATCGTCTCCATCGTCGGTGTACCTGCCACGGCTCCTGGGTGTGTCCCTACCGGGATCCTCACCCCCGCGGTCCTGACCTGTCGAACCTGCCTCGAAATCCTCGTAGTCGTAGTCCGGTAGGTCCTCACCTGAGCGGAGGCCCCCTAGGATGGCCTCCTCATCCACGACGCTCCTTCGAGATCGTGGGGTCGACATAGAGCTTGTAGTTGATGGTCTCAAGCGCGTAGGAAAGTCCTACGGCTGATAACCTGTGATTCGGGCACGAGCCTGTGCCCAGGCAATGGGTTAGTTGGGGTAAACAAGCCACAAAAGAAAGGTTCCCCAAAAGCAAACCAATCCCCGGTCCCAAAGATCAGGGTTTCCCACACACCAGAGAACAACAACCAAAGGAAAACAAACCAAACAAGAAAAGGGTTAACCCGCAACCTTGGTCGACAACAGGCCGCACGACTGGTCCCTACCAACCTGGCGGCGGCCCGAGGTCTCTTTCTCCCCCGAGATGCCGTCGGTCGACGCAGGGGTTCGGCGACGCCCATTCGAGGCGCGACGGAACCCAAAAATCTTGAGCCAAACATCACAGGTCAGTCACTACCGCGACATCCCTGTTGATGAAATGAATCATGGCTAATCACATGATTAAAACAAGGGGCTGCTTCTGAATGTTGGGGGCGCTGCCGGTGATGCTGGTGTTGATGGTGATGGAAAGCCAAAGCCACAAACGCCACCAAAAGCCAAGAACTGGGAATATATATATATATATATATAAAGGAGCCAAAACGACAGGAATCTGAGCCGCCAATCCAAAAAGCCAAAAGCCAAAAAGCTGTCTTCACGGTGGCAATGCTCGTTTTATAGCCAATTCCCAACCAAATTCCATGAATATTGCAAGTGGGAAACGAGAGCACCCCAGCAAGTCACCAATGTTCTACCAACCAGAACCAAAGGAACGCAGACAACTGGTGCCCTCTACATTTACATTCAGGGGCATGGCGCAATCGGTCGCACTCGCACGAATCTCTTTCCACAAAATCCGCTCGAGTGACTGGCGTGCATTTTCCCCGCCGGTCCCAAGGCGCCGTTCTAAACGCTCTTGGGACCGACTTCCTACAGACCTACACGCGCGTACAGAATAAGCACCGGCAAATGGGTGTCTTTTACAAAGGGAGGAACCTCCCCAAAGGGTGATGTTCCGTTTGGTTCCCTTTAAAAATCGACCCAAATAGGGTAACCTCAAAAAAGACACACCCAAACCCAATGTCCAGTGACAGCAGGCTGGGGAATGTGATCTCACTTGCTCTAGAAGGAAACGAGGATTTGTTGGTCAATTTGAAGCAGACATTTGCCCCTCAAAAAGACTACACGTAGTGCCGTTGGGCAACCAAACAGTTCGAGGGGGGGGGATGGGTGGTTGTGTTGGGAGGGGGTGTGGTGTTGGTAACAAAACCCCTGTCACACAACGAGATCCACCCTGAGTTGGGTCTGTTGCACTTGGGATTCCAATCCAAACCCCAAACCCAGCAGCTTCCACACAGACCTTGGCTGACTTGGCGACACCCATTTCCCATCGAGGTGTCTCAGCGCTGAAGCCAAACATCCTGTCATTTCACAGGGATCCTTACATACAACACCTGAACATCGCCTTGTCAATAGTGGTGTCCCTTTATTTTGGTGTTGAAAAAGCAACATGATTCAAATGGTTGCAAAAAGTATCTTTTATGGAGCCCTGTTTCATTTGACTTGTTTGTGAGGATCGAACAGCGAAACAGCCCCCCAAACGTCAAAACTCTGGTTGGCAGCTTGCTCATGCACCAGGAGCTTCGGTTTCAGGCACGGCGCGGATCAGGGGAAAGCAGCAAGCTGAGCTGACGGATTTTCCGAACAAATCGGTAGTGTTGGAACACGGCTTCTTGGTTCAACATGTTTAAAGGGAAACCACCAGGAAAAACTTCCTCAAGCTGGCCCTTGGTCCTTGATGCACCCTGCTTGGGGATTGGGCCGCCATTTCTCCCCTTGTGGCCATGAACCCAAACACGAATTGAACCACAGCACCTCTCCACATCTTGTGGAAAGGCAAGATCACTTCTCAGCTTGCATGAATTTGACCTTCGACATTGGCACGTGGTTCATAGCTCCGCCATGAACGCATAGCTGAGGCAGCACACGGGAAGCAACCGCAAAATATGCCCAAACACACCAGCCAAGCTGTGAAGCAACCGCAAAACACACACCATATCAGGCAGAGGTCGCTTTCAGGTTCCAACATATCTGAGCAAAGCAATTAGAACTCACAGACCTGAAATTGCATCATGGATCAGCTCGTCTTACCAGGAGAGCTTGTTATAAATTGCCAAGCATATGTGGAAGAAGTGCCTGTGATCCGCCAAGTGCAGAGAGAGAGAGAGAGAGAGAGAGAGAGAGAGAATGAGATACTTGGTTGCTTTCTGCTCCCCTGCTAAAAGTTTAACTTTTAAGGGTTTAATGGAAAACCCATTAGTTGGCAAAAGTTAAAAGTCCTAACATCCAAGCAAAATGCACAAAAGGATATGCACTCTCCTGAAAACTAGCATGGGTCCAGACAATCACAGGAGCCCCTTCTCAGGCCATCTCAAATTGCGGGAACTACGCAGCCCTCTGATGGTTTGAGTGTACTCTGGAAGTAACCCTGGAGAAAGACATGTCGGTTTGAACATGCTTTTTGCTTTATTGGCCCTGGATCATTTTCCCGGTCACTCCTCTGGGTATGCAAACCGCCTTTTATGTAAAGAAAAGGCGCGCAATTCAAAACCCCAAGGGTTCAAATCAAAGGCTTAGCGAATGGACCAATAAAAACTCCTGGCATGAACCTCTGGTGTCGGCCAGTCATACTATCATCCCAAGGTCAATCAACCACAAACAGCCATGGGCTCATGTGGGTTTTATAAAATGGTCCAAAATGTTCCAGCGTGCATCACCGTTTCTGTTTTGATGAGCGACTTGTATGGCTCTCCAAATAATTGGCAGGGCACTCCAAGGCACTTAGAGAGTCTCACTTGTGAGTGCCGCCTAAAAGTGAATTGGAGCAAAGCTGCAAGCTGGGCAATTAAATCAGACTGACTCACCAACTCAAAGAAAGCTCCCTACAAAAGGAAGTTCATTTCGCGGTGCGCCCCTCAGCTGCTGTATAAAATGGATCCAGCGAAGCCGGCGCTCGCAACTCAGTGCCTCACCTCAACTCAACGTGGAATGCGGCCAAACAAAGGCTGAACGTCTGAACGCACATGTCACATGTATAGTATATGCATCTTTGCATATACACATATATATATATATATATATTATTATATGTATATATTGTGCGCATATATGGTCCAAACCCATCACCCTCACCCCCAATCCCGCCTCCCCCCTCGTGGAATGGTGGGCTGGGCTGGTTGGAGTTCGTTCAGGGTTGGCTTTCAGGTTGGCTTAGCTTCTGGTCGGCTTAGGGTTGGGAAGGGCTGATTTGGGCGCTTTGGGAGCACCCTGCATGCCCTGTGGAATAGCTTTAGGACTTACTTGCGTTTGGTTTGGTCGTAGTTTGGTGGCTTGCTCACCAAAGGAAGTTTAGAAGGACCCTCCGTGGAGCGGAAACTGCTTGACAGCTAGATCTCTCACAGAAGACGAGCGAAGAATCAGCGCGTGTTGCGGGGAATACTCGTGTTCAAGAAGTGCAGCTTTTTGCGGGTTTCAGTGACTTCGGATGCTCGAAAGCTGCCTTGATCGCGCCGCCAGTCTAGGGGGTTGGGCGCTGCGAGCGAAGTGACAAAGACACGAGTTGTTTGAGGTCACCCCCGAAAGTCCGCAGAGGGTTGCGAGGGCAAAGTGACAATTGTGAACCAAACTCCAGCTTCAGTGCGCAGAGGATGCGGATTTCTGGGGGGGGGGGGGAGGACCATGTATCGATAACTCCATGTGAAAGAAACCAGCAGGAGTCCAAGAAAAACACGAAGGGGGCCATCAGACTACAAGACCTGATGCACCGGAAATAGTGTCCGTTGCTCACGTGGCCAGTTTAGGCCCTTGCACTAGTTTTCCCCTATAATCAACAGTTCAGCAATACAGAAATCAGAAATGGAATTCCAGAGGTCAAAATATCCTGCCTCAACCAGGCAACAGGAACTTCTTCTGCACCGAAAGTGCACATTGCCTCATATTCTGTTTGCACGGGTCTACAACTGTTGGAGAATTCTGTTCCTTCTCTTTGACCTTGCAGACTCCGGTAAAAGGGGGGAAACCTGGACTTCAGGTGCTCAACACAACAGATACTTGGTTAAAAGAGGTTGCCAAATTTGACGAAATTATTTACGAGGTTCTGCTTTGCTACGGACTTGCACTGAACTCATGCCTGGCTCATGAGTCTTTGGATAAATCAACCATACTTCTTCAATGCTCGCTTTTCCTCTTTTTTGTGGAATCCACTCTATGCCGGCTCAATGGCTGGCTTTAGGGTAGGAATTTCGGGTTGATGATTGGGCAGGCTGAGGGCGAGTGTAGGGTGGCTTGTGGGTTTGATTTGAACTAGGCAAGTTGGTTTAGCGCTCGTTCGTTCGCTCCCATGGAAGACATCACGGAAGAAAAGTTCCCACAACAGTTGTGGCTACTCAATACGCTGAATTAAGAGACTAAGACAAGAACTGAAAACGGACGCTCTCTCTCAGCGTGACTCTTCCTCGGCCGGAGGACTCTTCCTGACCTTTGGCCGGCTTGCCCACAAAAGCGGGCAGCGGCAAATCAACGTCCGAACTGCCTTTGGGCTGAATTACTGTAGCAACAACTGGGCCAAAACCTCGCACAAAAAAGTTGGGGCAAATGAGTGCAGGTTGACATTCGTAGGGCAAAGCTCTACGGGGTCCCGGGCAGCCGAGCGAGTCACGGGCTCGGCCTTGGCCGAGTGCACGACAGCCCCTAGGGACAGGTTTCACAGGAGGATCCGATGAATTCTTGTCAGCGGCTGGCAAAGCCGGATGGCATCTTACCCCGCTGATTCAACCATAGGAGGGAATTGGGTCCTGAGGGCACTTGGGCCCTTGGCTTCAGGCCTGCCCCCAGCTTGGGGTGGTCACGCAAGCCAAAAGGAGCTAAAAGAGCGTGCTCACAGCTTACGCTGATCCGAGCTTCTGTGTGAATCAACAGCCGTTCTGGAAAAAAGACAAGAAGGAGCCCCCATTAGGCTTACATGTGGCAGTTGACCCATACCCCCACTTCCGGTAAACGCCAAACACATCTCTCTCAAACCTGTCGCGACTCCATCGCCACCACCCTTTTGCTTGCAGCTGCGTGTCACGCCGAGCAGTTCGCAGCAGCGAGGAATGACAGCAGTTACTCTCATTCGCCCTGACTACGTGCGCTTCAGGACTGCTCCGTCCTGGGGACTGGCAACGAGCTTCATGGGCTTTCGCCGGTCTTTCGCGAAACTTCTTCCAAAAAACGCCATCCAACGCTTGGGTTTGCACCATTCCCAGCACAGGCAGGGAATCAAGGATGCAAATAAAGGTGCTGCACATCTCCCATCATCTCCCTGGGTCCCTGTCTACACTGCAAATCTGCAAGTGCGCGGGCATACCTCCAAAAGTCCAACGTGCTTCTTTTGCGAACAAACAACTCTTTCACGAACTCCATCTCCAATCTTTCATTTAGGGATCTAAACCAACACCAAGCGTCACCAAATCCATAACTCCTTGCAAGAACCCTTATTTGGGCCTGTATTAAAGTATGATCAACGAATCGGACTCTGCACCGAGTTTAGAAACCAATCCACAGACCCGTGTCCTGCTTTGCGCAGTACGTAATATTTGTTTCAAAACACCCAACTAAAGGTTGGAGAGTACGAAGTCAAACTATGTACCTCCTCATGGCTTATGGGAGAATGACTACTGCACCTGCAAGAACGGATTTCCAGAAATAATGTGGATGGACAATATCCATGTTTAACCAGTTGGTAGGTGGTCTGTCCCAATATTAAAATCGGGCCGCATCGGCGTGCAATTGATCTGTCCACAAGACAAAACCACATTCAAAGCAACCAGCTTGGAACATATTTTCCTTTTTTGGTCCACAAACTTGGCCGTGGCTTCGGCCTTCACCTGGGGCACTTTTCGCTTTAGTCTGACCTGGGCACATCCTGGCGCTTGAAAGAAAAATCGCCCTCCTTCCCCCCTCCTTCCCCCCTCCTCCCCCCCTCCTCCCCCCCTCCTGGGCGCTGAGCGCTGAGGCCGCGGCCAACACCGGCCGCGCGGACGGCACGGAGGCGCCCAGCCGGGGCGAGGCGGGCCGCCGGACCGGGCTGTCCAAGGGACCCTGAGCCATGCAGACGCTACCACTGGGGGCTGGCTGATTGGTTGGGGTGCACCAGCAGCAGTGAGTTGCTTAAACTTCTGTGGGTTAGAAGAATGTATGTTTTTTTGGGAAAGGGCCGGAAAGTGGACGTTGTTCATGGGTCAGCTCATCCACTGTGTGGTTGTTTTGAGGCAGCTGTTCGCTGAAATCTCACCTTGCCAATCCGGAGGTGTCCAAATCTTGCGAGCGAAACCTGGGTCTGTCTTTCGGGGAACCCGAATGGGAGTGGGACAAACCCACCACTCACCAAAGGGGGTAGAACATGGAGACAAATGCGCCCGAGTTGATACTAATCCACATCCAGAGCAGCAATTCTGCGACAGCACCACAGCAGCCCAGTATTGGATGGAACTGGACGGCGAATCCCTATCGCATGCAAGTGCTGAACAAGTGGGAAGGCAGATGCACCATGCAGTCAAAACACACTGCGGCCAAACGTGACGAAGTGCAGGAAGTGGACGGCGATGCTAAGGCACATCTGTTTGGGGGTTTGGTGGAATTCGCCTGGCTGTGGCCCAAGCATCCCCCACAAACGGTCGCAGGGCACATTTTAAAGAGCCAACATGGAGTAGAACAAGGGCCACAAAAGGCACCCTAACATGACCCATAGGCCTTCTTATGTTTCATGACAGGATCCCAACACCCCAAATTGTTCCTCTTACGTCTTACAGGCGCCCCGGGACGCCCCCCCCCCCCGCCCTCAAGTGGGTGTCCCCATCAGACCGTGCCCGGCTCTCACCCCCTACCGATCGCAGGAGAGCGCGCGCGCGTACGCGCCTGAACCAGCATTGACTGGCAGGGGGCCATTGGTGAGGCGTGGCCGGGCATCTGGCCCTGGCGCTGCTTTTCATCCAACACCTATGGGGCCAACAAATGGGTATGGTTCTATCAAACCTCTAAGGGACCGCAGGTTTTGGTCCATGTGTCCATTTACCAGGGTTCCTTTGTGGGTTGCTATTTTTGACCCACAGCCAGATTCAAACTTGGTCCAGCTTCAACATGCTCTCACCAAGCCGCTGGCTGCCCATGGCAAGATTGCTTGCTTCCTGCGCCCGCAGCTTCCTGCGCCCAAAAGCAACTTGTTTCAAAGAAACAATCAACACCAACGCTTTTGTTTCTAGAGGGACGTACCCTTTTGTTGTTTTCCCACTTTCCTAGTCATAAACCAAAGGCTGCTCCGGCCGTTTAAACGGCCCCGATATCATCCGCTCCGTGCCTGCACTCCCGCCGGCCGGCTCATATAGGGCACGGGCCTAGCTTAGCCATAGCTTGGGGATCCGAAGGCGGCTTCCCTGCGGGGAAGCCCCCTTCAAAACGGGTATCCCTTTGAAGAGTTCAAGAGCTTCTTTCATTTGATGCATTTAAATCAAACTTGACAAGGACGGCCTTCCAGTAGAACTTCTAGCTTCGCTGCAATTGGACATTTAAGTAGGAGTTCCTTGTTTAACGGGATTTCGGCCACTTTTGTTTGTTCAACCAGGCATACTAAGTTCTTGTTACAGTAGAATGCTTGAAAGCCCAAACCATTCGTGGAGGGGGCATCCCTGCGCACCTCACGCCCTAAGTCCGTAAGATCGCGAAATCATTTGTGCAGTTCCACCTCTGGATCCACTCCCTGGAGGATTCACCTGGAGCCCCAAAAACACACATGCTTGTGGTTAGAGTGGTTCCTTTTTGCCTCTTTGCCTAGTTCGTTGATCTGAAGGAGAAAAACAACCTGCCAGGCATGATACATGGATGTGGCTCAACATGCAACAGCTGGGGTTTCGCAGGTGGTCCATGTTTCCACTTGCCAGGCTTCCATTTCGGGTACCAACTTGGCCACAGCCACATGGCTCCAAAAAGGGAGCCACGCCCCGAGGAGTCCAATTAAAACCGGGCCGGCTCAGCCACGGACCCACACGGCCCGCACCCGCCGCCTGTCAGAAGTCCGAAGCCACGTCTTGGGTTGGATTGGTAGGCGGGTTGGCCCCCAAAGGTTGGAGGGCGGGCAGCTTGGTCAGCTTCAGCTATTGCTGGGGTGGCAAGCAACTGGTGGTTTCCTTTGGCTACCTCGATTGTAGAGTGGCGCAGCAGCCAGGCGAGCTTTTTTGGGCTGCATCCACGAGTTGCCCAAACCCGCTTGATTTGCCTCAATCCATGGCCTTGACCGTTCGAAGTAGATCTCGTTCCGAGCAACTGGGCTGGGTGCCCTTGAAGTCACTATGATTTTGGATTCGCAGGTGTACTGTCCTACAACAGAAAACTCTATCCTATGGTCCTCCGATTGAAAACGACCCCCTCTGGTAGGCCCCCCTCTCGGAAGCCTCGTCAAACCTCCAGAACCGCGCCACGCCAAGTGCCCCGTATCAAGTTTCAGGCTGCCCTGAGGATCACGAACTGCCACTTCTGGATAGGAAAAGGGTGGGAGAGGGCTGAAAACATGTCGACCCTTGGAGTCCTAAAGTGGACATCTCCATGGCTTATGACCAAAGGCTGCCCATTTTTCAGACCACCCGAAAGTGCAGAAGCAGAACTGGTTCATACCAGGCTTTATATATGCCGCCTTTCACATACAGGCCACAACATGTGATTCTTCCGGAACACCGGACAGGGCCGCAAAACCGTGGCTTTCGGCAAGAGTGGGCAAAACCCAACACGGAAATACCGGGCCCATGATTGTAGGTTCAAATCCAGCTTGGCCGGCTCAAGGGAAACTACCCAGAAGGTTTCCGGCTTTCTGTTGAAACATCCAAAGGCCGCTAACTCTTCTATAACCATCAGTGAAGGGCATTTTGCCCCTCGAATGGAAGGATTCGCAAAAGAACCTCAGCAGAGAGTCCCCAAACGTGACACCATGGGCCCGGAAAGTGCGAGCCTGCCATGGTGGTCGGCAGGATGCCTGACGAGACGAGACAAAGCCATACCCAGAAAAAGCCTCGCTTGGAGATTCCACCTGGGTTTTGTTTCAAGGAGTTTCCGTGTTCGCATTTGTTTTAACAGGCCCAAAGGCACTTAGCATCCAAGTCAGTGAGCGGGCCTTATGACTTATTCTCCTGGGATGAGACGTTTTGTCTTATGGAAACGGGATTAAACAAAAATCCCCTTACCCCTCACTCCCACAACCCTGCTGATATGCTGATAAGCTCAGAGGGAGGGGGTATCTCACCGCACTTACAACCATGGCTGCAACTGAAATGTCACTTCTCATGTTTTATTCCTATAACCCTGCAAATAAGCTCAAAGTGAGGGGGCGAGGGGTATCTCACTGCAACTTACGAAGTGGGATGAACCTCCAATACTGCCCAGCCAAGACAAGACACCTGCCTTGGAATCTGAGCGAGAAACCCGTCCAAAAAAAGGAAATGGTTGACAATGGTTGATCTTGAAGGGACCTGGCTCGCACTGTCAACTTCGGATCATGGAGAGAATCCTTCTCGTCAGGCGAGTCTTAATGGAGTAAATTGTGTCAGGGCATTCCTCTGAATCTCATTCCACATCTGTCAAAGCCCTGAAAAGAACTTCATGGGCGAGCTCCCTGAAAACTCGAGCTGGGCAATACAAGATGTTCCTGTCCGGATGAATCCGAAATTGACATTTCAACACCTTTGCCGCGCAAAGCACACCACGCGAATCTGTCTAACCGCCGGGAGAGCGCCTCGTGAACGAGCAATTCCCTTTGCCACATTCGCAATTCTTGCAAATCCCCCAAACGAGGCGAACCATGCGTTTGAAGGGGGTGGAAAAGCAAACGTGCTGTTTGATTGCTTGGGGTACTCCGCCCGTTTTGGAAGACGGGTAAAAAACCTGCCCAGCGCAAAAAAGTGGGTGTTCCCTCTTCTTCAAGTGCTTGCAGGATGAACCAGTTGAACCATGCTTTACAACATCCCTGTCTCCCCTGGCCAACAACAAAAACATAAATAAATAATAATAAAAAAGCTACAGAAAAGCTCCGCCTAACTCCCAGGGGATGTGGCCCATGTCAAAATGTGTATCCGTCTCTTAGATATTGAGCAGACCCACAAGAAAACCGGTTTATGGTGTCCGTGTGTGTTTGAGGTAGGCCAACATGTTGGGGCTACCCCCATTTAGAGAAAAAGCCATATCGTTGTGGGTTGCTTTTCTTCGAACATCTGCCTGATCCAAAAGAAAACCATTGATGCTCAAGCCGCCACAAGTCATGTTTGAAGCTTCCTATAGCAAGCTATTTGGGGCGCCCTTGAAAATTGACCGTTCCGTGCTTGGTTCAGGGAATCAACCGCATGGTTCAGTTTGTGTGGGACCCTAAACCAGGGACCACTCGAAACGGTTGGTAGCCTCACTCCCCAAGTTGAGGCCTGGGCATAACCGGCGCTGTTCTTCTTTTCTTTTCCGGGCAACGCCATGATTCACATCCGGAAATCATGAACCCATGAAGGTGTGTGTGTGTGTGTGCGCGTGTGTTTTAGGCCCCCCCACCTAAAACTAAAAAAATAAATGGTGGTGTTCCTGCTTGGTTTCCCCTTAAAAGCCACACAACAGGGGGGCGGCCTCCCAAAAAAAGGACCTCCCATGAGCTTCGCGGCAATCCCCGATCTTTATCCCACCTTGCAGGCTGGGCCGGGCGCCCGCGAGCCTGGCCCAGGATGGCGCGTTTTCTAAGGGCTGGCAGCTCTCTGGCAGCTCTCTGGCGTCATTCATTTTACTTTATGATCAAAGTCACCCAAGTGATGGTAGGGAAATAAGGAAATCACCCCATGTCCTGACTCTGATAACCCCATCGGTTTCCGAACCAAAATCATGACCCCGGCACGGGCAAGAGCACAAGAGAAGGCCAGAGGTGCCGATGGGTTTGATTCCGATGGTCCATTCTTTTCAATCGTTCTTTTCAAGAAACGGAGATCCGTTTCCGTATGATGCCATGGGTTTCCGGAGATCTAGAAAGATCCGGATCCCTGGAAAGAATGGAAATGGAAGGTAGAACTAGAAGCTTGGGCCAGACAGGCCCTGAGTGTTGGCCCCGTTTTGGGAGGGTGGCCTCTTTGGGGTGGAAAGAGGGGGAAAGTCCCAAGCACCCCTGGCAAATGAGGTGCTTCAAATTCGGGGTTCCATGTCTTCTGTCGGGAGGACCAGAAAAAAGGCAGGGTGTTGGGGGGGGAAAGACCCTAGATTCAACACGCAGCGATGTCAAGTTTCAACACATGCGGGCATTTCTCAAAATGAGTTGTATAACCTCCCAAAATGGGTGTCGGTGTCCCTTCGGTTTCCTTTTTGAACCTTCAGGGTTCTCACAAGACGTTCCCATGTGCAAACCGGTATCTGCAGGGCAGCCGAATTGAACAAGGACCAGCTTCAGATTGCGCAAAGGGTGGACAAAGCATCATTCTCCTGGGTGAGGCTGTTCGCACCCATGGCACAGCGTAAACAGAGTTGACCACACGGAGCGTAACTTTTGTCGCCTTGGATAGCCTATCTGGCCTGATACCATTTGTGTGGGTGGGTGTGTGTCACATTGACTCGGCTCTGGGGGTGCAACCACGGAAAGCAAAAAGGAACCATGCAGGGACACTCGCAACGTCCCCCTTTGCTTGAAAACCCACGGGATACCCTGGGCCATACAAACCCACACTCAAGGGGGCAACTTTGAGTTCCAAAAAACCGGACCGCGTGGCAGAGCCAGTCCAAAGGGGGTTTGAGAAGGCTGTGACTTGACGAATGGGATTGACGAGCTGAAAGAAGATTCGAGGGTGCGTCACACTCCTTGGCCCTGGACATCCTCATAAACGTGATCACCATGTTGATTGACTTCAATACTTCAACGACTTGTAACTTGATGTGGATATTCGTTGATCGGCCAGCTACCTACGCATGAAGCGCTCTGAGTTGCGAATGCTCAGTAACAAGATGTATTGAAAACTTGACCAAGGCACGCACCCTGGGTCCCCTCCCGCTTGCAAGCCATGAACGACGTCAGTTGTTTTGCCCACAAGGGAGATGTACAAGGATATGGTGTGCCATGGATGTATATGTCATGGCAATGTTTCTTGGAACATGATCCAAGGGCTTCATGGCCATCCTTTTTTCAACTTGCCATCCTTTTTCCAATTACAATAGCCTTTGCCCATGTCAAAGCTTTTCTCGGCGTTCCTGGCCATCTTTTTTGTTGCATTGCGAGGGGCCCGGATTTCTTTGACCGCATGCCAGGCGCGCCCATTGAAGCCCAGGCTGCGCTGCACTCCTGAGGCCCAAAAGGTGGCTTCAAAAACCTTTCTGATTTGAGAGGTCGGAATAAGGCGACCGATTTTTTTGTCTGTGGTCCATTTTTCGTAGGGGAAAGTCTCCCCCCAAGAAAGTTGGTAAAAAAAGGCACTGGGGGACCTAGTGGTCTATCTCCCAGCGCCCGAGAAGTCTGAAAGCCTATGGAGAGAGTGGAGGAATTCATGCCCAATGCCCCAACAAAGAGCCATCTCTGACTTCCAGCAACGAGTGTCAGCGTGCTAGAGGAAAGCAAATGTTTCAGGTGAGTCGCAATCAAAACCTGGTACAAAAATGGTGAACCCAGAACCATGTACAGGATTAAGAAGGCGGCCGCAGCTATTTCTGCTTGGGATTGTCCCTTACTAACCTTCATCTACCCCAGGTTTTGATTGTGGCTCAGGTGTAGTTTGCAAATTTCAGACCAAACAGCGAGCTTTCTCAGACTTTCAGACTCCTAGTGCGGCAGCTTCAAGCGGCTGCTTTTCTTGCGGCCCCTCTGATGTATGTGCCAACAAACAACAACAAACCAACGATCGTGAGAAAGGCCATGGGATAAAATGTCCTTGTCCTTTGACAGGGGTGAGTGGTCATGGCCCACCCGTAATTTCCCTTCTGGGTGGAGGTGAGGAAGCGAAGGGGAAGCTTAGAAGTTCCCAAGATAAATCTTCTAACATATGCTCTCTTAGTACGCCTTGATTAAACTTCTTCCTCCTTACCCCAAGGGAACCTCAATCAATTCAACTCCACTCGGTGAACTCATCAACGCTCCAACCTATCTCAGTGTCTTCTCCTGACTACAACTAACATTATACAAGTCTGGTCCATAGCATGAAACACATGTAAAATGTAAAATAAGCTCGAATTCAGAGGTCGCAGCAACGAGGAACAAGGGGGAAGGTACGCCTACTCGGAGTCAGACCAGCATTTGCCCTAGGAAGCAACTCATGGTTGTGGGAACTCCCTATCTCAAAGTATGAACTTCAACTGCGGATGCTCCAACGTTGCGGTGTGGGGTCCCTTGCGTGCAATGCGGCGCGGGAATTCTCGTTCGAAAGGGGAGAAAACCAGTTGGGGTCAAAGCTGGGATGCCGTCAGCTCCGCTAAAAGTTTAGCTTGTGGGTTAAATTCGGACACGACCACTAGAGGTCCCGGCTCCTGCCGGGGAGGTGGGCAGCTGCAGCTTGGGCGGCGTCTCCGGCACTTTGGCCGCAGGCTCCTGACATGGTGGAGGCAAAGGGACGAGGTGACTGGAGGTTGGACAAGGGGGTTGTGCAATTTGCGGAGGCTTTGGTTGGACAAGGGGTGGAACAAGGTGTGGCAAGGGCTTGTGCAAGGTTTGGTTCAAGTAAGAAGCGAGTTGGGGTGGAACAGGCGGTAGAGAATGGTTGAACAAGGGTTGAACCAGGCGATAAAAAGAGGTGGCTGATCAAGGGGTGGTTGAACAAGGGAGCTTAAGGGTGGTATCTTCATGCCGTGGGAGCTTTTCCGGAGAAAATTAATCTGGAATCGGCCAAGCACCATGTAACACGTAGCATCCTTTAGGTTCCCCTTAGGATAAGATGGTCTCTTTCTTCACCTGTTGCACCCGTACGGGGCCCAACGGCTGGCTGGAACCCAAATCTCGACGAGCAAGAATACATTGGTTAACAACATGCGGGACCCTCCTATGAAGGCATCAACCATTGTCAGCACAACAAGCAAATTCATGGCACCCCGCAACCCACCCAAGCAACCCTCCGGCATGCGTTACCTTCATAAGTGTCACAATTTGCCAAAATAAGGCCAACAAGGGCAAACTAAGACTCGAATGATTCGGGGGCTTTGGGGGTCGTCTCCTTCACAAAGCTCCCGCTCGACTGGTTCTCCAATGATTTCCTCTGCACAAGGTGCCCTTGTCGTTTGGTTGCTTTGCCATAGGTAAAGCCACAGAAAGAAGCAAAGATCAAGAAGCACCAGAGATACTGAGACCAAACTAGGAAAATAGAGGATCTGGATCCTTCATGTTTCAGGCTGCATCCATGCAGTCCGGTCGGTCCATGCATTCCTCTGATCACAAAAAAGGGGGGGGCATGCAGGCGTGTGGGGAGATTCTGGCCTTCCCTTCGGGTCTCTTTTAAACCAAGCTGTACCGCACGATTTCCCCCTCTGCATCTCTAAGAATTCCCTGCGCTTTCCAATGTCGGGTTCTCCCCCCCCTTTTCGGTGGCCTCGACGGCACTTGCAGCTACATTGTCCTCGCCTGGTGCGGGCAACTCGGTAGCTCTGGCGTCAAGGCCTCTGGGTGGTGGTCTGGGAAAACGCAATCCACCTTGTGGCTCCTAGGAACTTGCCGAGTGAGGCGTGCAAGCACCCAGCGAAGCAAGGGCACAAATATCAGTTACAAGGCTCTGTTGCTGCTGGCAAGCGACAACCTGCCAGAAAGTTCGGAGCACGGACTGGGAAAGCATTAATTTGCTGACCAGCCAAGTCACTGCGACAAAGTGCAAGCTTGACTTGCAGGAGCAAGCAAAGCAATCACAAGCAACATACAATCATCAACAATGCATGCAGAAACCCAGCAAGTCCAAATGACGATCAACAAACAAGAGAAGCAACGAAAACAAGGCAATGTAACACAATGCCAACGGCACGAGCTAACAAAAGCAACACACGGTGTGATTCGTGGAGGGAGCTATGTTCAAGTGCTCCCTGCGGTTCCGGGTTGGGCCATCGGGGCCGTGGAACCTTCGCTCTATATTAGCCGGGATCAACATGATACAAACTCCACCCTTGTCCAACTATACACATAGTTGGATGGTGTCACGGCGCAACAATGCCGATCCTTTGCTCGCACTAGGTTCATCCCAGCTCGCTGAACCAGGTGCATGCGCAGGGTGGGATGAAACCCAAGCCATGCATTGCAAGGGGACCAAACCCCAGTGAATTGCAGCCACTGTCAGGCAGGTGACTGGTGACATCTTTCAATTGAACTCCTTCGGACCTGCGAGCTGGCTTCCTTACCCGTAGAGTTGCGGTTGGGACCGCTTTCTCTAAAGGACACGCACAACGTGTTGAATTCCGCTTCAACTGGATTACCGGTATCCCTTCTGGACCGGCAATTCAAGGCAAGCCACGAAGCGGCGAGTAGATGGCGACACCCGAGCGCGCTTGCCCGCCTGTTTCAAAGCGCTTGACGTCCCTCGGCGCCTGCCATTCGCTCGTGCCGTGACATAAAAATGTGGAAATACCTGAGCGAACAAATCCGGGGAGGGGGGTGTTCACGAATGGGGTCGTTCCCCTTTTGCGTGGCGCCGACCTTGTCCAGGCCGGAGACCAACAGCGCTCGCAGGATCCCCCCAAAAAAACTTCGGAAAAGTTGCTTGAGCCTGCGATGCCAAGGAATGGATTCTCCGAACACAGAGCACGCGAAACCTCCGAAACCCCTCTCCCCCCGGCCGGCACCTGGCGCGCGCTCGCGCTCAGCATGGGCACCGGGGCAGATGCCACCGGGGCCACCGGGGGAGTCAGCGCCATTGGAGCCAGGGGCGCCATGGGCGCCATGGGCCGCCTGAGAGGGGGGCGCCAATGACATCTGTCCGACTCAATGGGAAGTGACAAGGGGATCTATGATCTAACCAGTTTGGCAGCATGCTTCATCCAATACAAGGGGCGGTGGATTTCATGGATCTCTGTTCAATGCTTTGGACCTGCCTGTGGCCACAGACTTGCAACCACAATGCAAAGCGCAAGGTTCATGGGCTGGTTGGCGACGTCAAACATCTCGCCAACCTATGGCTGTCGACAACCCTTCGGCACCTTTCCAAGTGGTTGACTTCCGGTTTCCTTTTGAGACACATACCAACATCGCCTCCAACCTGCCAAATGAAAGCACCAGTCGGTTTCACCGGATTTACTGGTGATCTTAAGTTTACCTATCTCAAGTCTCAATCAAAAACCAAGAAAACAGGTTGTCCACTTGCCAATAGTGGAGTTACCTCACGGTTCCTTTTCCCGTGGCAGTTAGGGCCCGCCAGCGCTCCATTAGGAAATATGGGTGCTCCTTTCTAGGAGGGCACCCTTTTCGAGGTCGGTTGGAAGGAAACCCAAAGGAAACTATCGGGTTTGGGGTTCCCTTCTTTTCAGACAAACCCATATGCTAGCCTCTAACTGTAGACCAGTTGAATTGACTCCTTCTAAGGCGTTCAAGCCGTCTCGCAAAAGCCACTCCAAGGCAAACGCAAGCCGCGAGACACACGAGGCCCCCGACATGTAGACTGGCGACATTCTCGGAACCTGTCCGTGGATCTCAAAACATGGGCAGATCCGACGATAGGAATCCGAAAGAGGACTCGAAGACTCTGGATCGGTCTTCACTTTTTCCATTTGGACTGCTCGCTTTAAGGAGCACTTGGCGAACACTGAGGCCCGGAGAGAGGGGATTCGCGGTCCAAGCGTGTCTTGGCCCCAAGACGCATGGCACCCCGGCCGAAACTGAGTGGAAGTCATTCTCACTGGACCAATTACGCCTCAGGCTGGCTGCCCGCCTGCAGGCCAAGAGGAATGAGATTTGTTGTTGCCGCCTTTATTTGTGTGGCTGTTCACAGGCTTGGCTTAGTCCTTCTCGTTTGTGCCTCGTTTCCCAATTAGAAGGAAGTTCAAAGCAGTCCACACACCAGGATGGAAACTCAGATTGTTTCCCAACTGGAAAAACCAGAGAGCGGCCAACCTGAAGCTTTGCCTGCGCCCGGGCCTTTTCGAGACAAAGGGACCCCTTCTCCAGTGCAAACATCCGCTACCTCTTTCATCCCAGGTCAAAGCCAAAACGGTCACCGGGCGATAAAATGACCTACACAGTGGGATAAAAACAGCACTTGCAGCATAGTAAGAACTGACGGTTACGCAGTTGTCGCGATCCAAGCACACGAGTCAAGTTCTGAGGCTGACGCCATCAATTGACACACATCTTCACAAGTGCTTCACGCGTCCACGTGCGTTCAATGTGCTCGGCGTCCTTGTTTTCTGGAAAGGACTTGAGAATCATCGCCCCCCGGAAAAGATCTACGGGATTCACTCTTCGTTCGTGAACAGGGTATCTTTTGCAATCCTGCTGGTGCTAAGCGAGCAGCCCGTCCCAAGGGGCTGCGCATGTGCATGGGCCAGTGCGCCGAATCTGAGCTCGCTTCACCCCCCAAATGAGCTCCGAATTTGCCCAGGATGGATGCGTTGCCTGGGAGTAGACCACCGGCCGCCCCGGGAGTCGCCACACCTAAGACGCCGGCGCCAGGACTCCAGAAAATGTGTTTTTGGCGCGTGTTTCAAGGGAATCTTAGAAAGGGAACAAACTTGGGGTCTCCCCCAAAGTCCCGTCATGGGAACCTACCAGCGAACTGTAGCGTTTGAAGAAGCACGTTGAAAGAACTTGCTTGAGGGGAGAAAGTCCAACACGCGCATGTGATAAAATGCAACACAACGGCTGGAAACTCTGAGGCTTCCAAGAGTTGACTGGCACATAAGCACTGGTCCCCTGAGATGGAAGCCCGCTTGGCATCCCCAAGTGCAACTTGAGCTTTTGGTTAAACCAAAACAGGGGCCTTCCCGACAAGTGGTAGTTGTCATTTGCTTTAACTACCAACGCAACCCCAAATACAGTACCCTCCAAAGAGAACACAGCGTTTCAACCCCGCATGACATGGGTATTCTGAAAATCCGAAGTATGCGCCACCACACGGCGGGCCAAATTCTTCCTGCAACCAAGGCAAGGATTCAGGATTGCCTTCGGAGTGTTCTAAGAACCGGGCCGCCTGGACGCTGGCTGTGCGCAAGATGTGGAGACAAGGGGAGTTCTCTGTTGGGTTCCGTTTAAACAAAACCAAAAAGGTGGTAGGACACACCCATGTACTTCCTCCATTGTGCTTATTGTTCTGCCCTGGCTAAGAACTTGGAGCTCCCTGAATTCTGCATTGGCCTTTCCTAGGAAAACCTCCAAACGCACCCTCACAACTGGCAAGACTTCTTGGACACACCATGGCAGCACACCTCTGCACTGGTCTTTGCCATCGCCCCAGTGAAGTGAGCCAAGTCCAGCCTCGAAGGCTCGTGAGGGAATTTCCGCCGGCGCGCCCCCTCGATGCCGTGGTGCTGGTCGCCCGGGAACTGGCCGACCCAGTCTGCATGGCCCGACCACTTTGTTCATCGCATGTTCAAGTCGAACACCCGGTAGTTCTCCTTCAGTTCTTCACGCGATTGGCCAAGCTGTGACTTCTGCCTCGGCCGAGTGAAGAAGGCGGTGCCCCTTTCTTGACACCTGGTAGGCGCCGTCCGTGCACAAGCGGACGCGGCACTCCTGAGCCGGCCAGCGCGACCGTGCGCCTCACCACTGTCGCTGCTGCTCTTGTTGGTACTGCTGTTGCTGCTCACACGACTCTTTCCCTCTCGACCGAATACGCAGGCAAGACACCAACACCCCTCTTCGTAAAAACCACAAGGATCAGGCTAAAGGATGTCCCACGAACTTTCACCATTCCTGGAATCACCAACAAGAATGGTGGAGCATGCGCCGAAACAACAAACCGATTTTGACTTCGTCTCAAAGTTCGGGACCTCCAAAATGGTTCTTATGTCCAAGCATAGCGATCAGGGCCCTGGCGCCGCATTGGGAAAACGACACCTATGTCTAGCCAGTGCCATGTATGTCTAACCAGAAAAAAACTTGAAAAAAAGACACCTATGATAGCGATTCCAACCCTTTGCAGCTGTTGCAAACATGGGCACAACCATTTTCCATGCAACCAAGAAACCTTGAGGCCTTCGCTTCTCGGCCTTCGCTGCGGGCTGCGGTTGGTTGGCTTTGGATTCGGCTCGTTTCGGTTGGTGTTGGTTTGGATTTGGTTGGTTGTCGTCGTTGCTGCTGCTGTGCGGGCGGGTGTGCGTGCGTGCGTGGGCGAGGGTCTTTGGAGTAGTTTGTAAGTCCATTTCGCCCAAATCCCACCCGGGCAATCGTTCTTGGACTCCCTTATTGTAAAAACGAAGTGATTCCCTGAAGCTTGACCTTCGAGGTATCACGAAGCCACCCCCGGCCGGCCACGGGCCCGGGCTCGAAGAGTTTTGTCGTGGCCTTGGCAAACGGCAGATGCCAACGCGCGCCAGGGCGATCGGCGGAAGCATCCGCCGTGCCATGTTCACAAAGCGTAAGGGCTACTGGGAAGAAGCGGCGCAAGCAACACACGAGCGCATCAGGTTGCCCCAACTCAGCATACATTCCATGATCTGGGCAAACTATTATAAGTCACCAAACGCAAGAAAGGTATCCCTATGAAGCAATCTTTTTCCTGGGTGATGTCGCACTCCCCCCCCCCCAGTGGCGTCATTATACTTTGTCGAGAATGATACAGCAATTGCATTGTTTGAGTTGTTTCTGGATGTTCTTGCTAGATATGTCAAAAAAGTGACACTTCGTTGTTTTGTTTGCAAGTTATTCCTCGATGCACTTGTCCGTGCTTTCTCTCTTACAACCAAGAGTCACGTGCTTTTAGGTTGAAGGATTTCCTTTTGCTCATCCTGATCCTGGTTGCATTGGTTGTTTTCTTCTTCGCATTCTTGGTCATCGTGATTCTAGATTTCTTCAGTGATTTGCGGTCAGGAATAATTCACAGTGTCCGACAATTCATGCACAGACGGGTCGAAGCGTAACTAGCTGACTAGAGCTGCCTGAAATCAAGAGAGTTTGGGTGTGCAGGGTGCTTTATGGAGGTTGAAGACACAGATTGGGGCCCCCTGCTGCAAGACAGCGCGCGGCCGTCTGCCGTCACCGCCACGGACTGCACAATGTCCTGCGCCATGAAAATGGGCTTGACTTCCGCTAGAGGTGTGTCACGCGCCAAGTAGAGGAGTCCGGAAATCACAATCAACCCAAGGGATTCCTTATTGGAAAACAAGCGGTTCAGCGTCTTTGCGCACAGAGACTACCACGAGAAGGGAAGTTGCTCATATAAGGAACTTGGACCCTCTGGGTTGCATCAAGAGCCCAAGGCCGTAAACGACCTCAGGGCCAACGCTTGGCTGCCCCGGCAAGCGGGACATATTGAGGGTAGATGGCAAATCCCTCTCTAGACTTCCTGTGAGCAACTGCCAGTGTTCAGCAGGTTGGTCCCACCGGCATCGCAAGTTGTGAGCAGCCGATTGTTTTAGGGTTTAGGGTTTGCAGTTTAAGGTTTAGGGTCCCCAACGCCAGTTTGGCGATTTAGCCATCCCATCCCCTCCCCACGGCCAAGTTTGACGCTTGCCCTTGGAGGGCGCTGAGGCGTGAGGGACTGGGCTTCAGGGTAGCCAGCTCGCGTCGCAACCAGGGTGCTCGCCGGCTGAAAGCCTTTCGCAGTTCAATGGCCGGAGCACCTAGCCTCCGATACGATTTATATTGTAATATCTAATGAAGGACAATTGTTTTGCGCTATTATGTTGGCTGGCGATAAGTCGTCTATTATACTGTGGGACATTGCTGTTAATATGTGTGCATTTGACAACACAATCAATGCCAAATGAAAATCAATTATGTTTGAACAATTGGGAAAATAGCATACTGCTTCAAATACTTGTCAGTTGGGGCTCTCTGCTCTAACCCATGAAGGAACCTACCAACAACCTTAAACAACTTTGATTGCCTCCACATGAGGGGAGTCTCCACAGCGGGTGGTTCCCCTAATACGACCCAAAAAGATGGGTTCCACCAGAAAGACACGCGCGACTCCGGCAGTTTGGCAAACCCCCCCATGTTTGGGTCCCATGCTCACCAGTGAATAAGATTCTCTTCCGTGAGCAACGGCTCTTTATTTCTGCCAAGAGTCGAAAACGTTTCGTGGTTTAATACGGAAAACCCCTTTGTTGGCAAAAAGTCAAAGTCCTAACATCCTCTAACTTTCAGTGGTTTCATGGAACACCCTCCTAACCTCCCGTGGCAACATGCGCCAAAAAAAAAGAAAAAGCGGGTCGACCCGTGGCCTCGTGGCCTGCTAGGCTCAGCAGCTGCTCGCCCCCCACGTTCCAAACCTCGGGACCCTCAACCCAGGGCCGCAGCTCGGCGGCGAAATCTGCCAAGCCCCGCCGGAAGAAGTTGATAGAACTTCGGACTACGACGGAGAACTCCAACGAGTCGGCAAGAGGTTGAAGTCCGAACATCTTGGCACCATGCACCAAAGATAGGCGGATAGGCGGCCCGTTTTTGAGAAGTCGATGGGTGGCCCTGGTAAATGAAACCAAACCCCTCTGAACCCGTGGAACCCATCGATTTTTAGCCAGGCTCAGCTAAAAGGACATGAGCAAGACAAGCCGGACGGGAAAACCGCAGTACACGAAATACACCAGCAGGGAAAGCCAAAGACTTGCAAAAAACCAATGTGACTGAAGAGCTGGATGTGGAGGTACCAGAGCTGGAGTTGCTTTCAGCTGCAGTTTGCTCTCATGCGGAGATTTTCTGCGTATTGGGTCAAGTTGCTAGTTATTGTATCATCTTATCTTTTGGCTGGGAATCGGATAGTCTGAAGAAGACAATGAGCTATGCTATCTCTTCCCATCAACTTTCTCAAACTATTTTGCTGCTCGACATATGAAAAAGAGATGGGTGTGAAGGGAGTGACAAGGAACGAGATAGCACTCCATTCTCGTGAGTGTCCGGAGATCCTTTCAAGCTACAGCCTGACATTGCCATCATCCATCCCTTCCTTCCCACTCTCTCTCATCTGCTATTCATGGGTGTCTATGCAACACAAGCGAACTCCAGAGAAAGCCAGCCAGCAAACAAAAACATAAACTCCCTTTCTCGCTCCACAGCGTATGCTTGCCTGGAAGGAGAGGGAGAGTGACGCAAGAAAGGAATAAGAGATGAGAGCGAGGACAGGAATGGCCTGTTTGTCTTTGTGTGAGTTCATATAATCTTGTATGGACATTACATTGTGACCGTGAATCAAGGATGAGCAGGATAACAAGAGCAGGGTATCGGTTTTGAGTCTCAATTCCTTCTCAAATACCTTTTCCACAGCCAATAGATTCCCAAGGATTCCACCTCCAACTTCAACTCTGTGAGTGAGAGGAATAACGGCGAGTTTCTTCGATAGGAGAAGGACTCTTGGAGGCTGGAAGGGTATCTTGTTTACATTTCTTCTCTTTTGTCCATTCCTTTCCAGTCGAGAGAAGAATGGCATGATATAGGGAATGACTCGGAATGCCTGCAAAAGAGAGATTGAAACAGAACCAGGGAATTTGTTTGCTGTCAATGAATGGATTACCCTGAGAGCGAGGATGAAGGACATGACCAAGAGTGACTGCAACGTGATGACCAGGGGTGCTATCATTGTAAAAACAAATCTTGGATTCATGAGCATTCACTGCTTAACATAATGTGCTGTGTTCCCCGGGAAAAAGAACTTGATGAGACATCAAGTCAATGACCAACAAGCAAGAATGAAAGGACAACAAACATTGTTTGAACATAGTATTATTATGCTTCAACCATTTCATTCTCGTCTTGCTTCTAAGACGCATGCAAGGCAAGCACGCTCAGCGCTATGCTTCTGTCAAGAGTTGGCGCGATTCCCCCAATGTCTGTGAGGAAAAAGCGGACACAGCCGACGCCAGCTACTGGACCAGTCGGCATGCTGGGACGACGAGCCCGAAATTACCCCAGTGTGGGGTTTCTTGGGACTCTGTTTGTTGAGCCAATTCTCCAGGGTGAATCCCAGAAATGAAACACGAAAGCCCTCGTGTATCACAAGCAAACATATCTAGTCCTGGGTAAAGTCGCATTGCTCGTGCAACAAAGCTTGTCACCAAAGTGTGATGCGCAGTCGCCAAGGGGCCATACGCTCACCCTGTGTTTGGCCAGTTTACATTTGTATAGCAGGCTCGCTGCAAAATCCTGGTTTCGAATGTTGATTGGAGAGAAACCCGTTGGGAAACCCGTTGGCTCCAAGCTACTCTCTACCCCTGGGTGTTGATCATCTTACGGCTCAGAGCCCCCGCCAAACCCCAACACTTGGTTGACCTTGGACAGGGAGCATTTTTTTTTTTTAGTTAGCAGTTAAGCGGTTGGATGTCAACCACTACACCACAAGAAGCAAACATGCGTCCAATGTCTCGCAACCACCGCCATGAACAGGAAGCCCCGAGGTTCCAAAGCCCAAGGGGCGCTGGAACCCGCTCGGACGCGCCTTGACGTTCTTATCCCCGCACCCTGCCTGGCGTGAGTTGGGGTGGGGTATTGAGCCAAATCAGATACCCCAGCCGTCAGAAAAGCATGTTTGAAAGTGTTCGCCCCTTCTATTGCCCTTGAAAATAGGAAAATGTGTCGCGCCCTGGTGGTTGCCATTGAGAATCAGAGAAGTAGCTGCATGTAAAATGTAATCTTGTGTGTATGCAAATAGGCTGAGAAAGTTCTAAGGGTAAGGACCACCCAACCGCAACAATGTCAACAAGTATCGAACAACAAAGGAATGATCGCCGAGGAAAGACGGCCCCGTCAATCCAATCTCTAACGATGGGGACTGTCACCGCATGTTGCCAGCCAAGATCTAGATCAATGTGTCTTAAAATATTGCGGTCACCAAAACTGACTGGTATCCTATATCCTACTCCATGTCCTACCGGTTGAGTTCAAACACACTTCAACCACCATTGTCCGAGCAAACTCCTTTTGCGGCATTTGGAAGGGGGCCAACCCAAAAACCCTTCTTGAGCCACGGGCTCTGGCGAGTCCTCCGGCGCTTGGTCCGCCCCCTCCTTTCCCCCTTCCCCCGCCACGATGAGCTCGCCATCGGCGGAGAAGGCCACGGAGTGGATGGAGCTCTCGTCGCTCTCCTCCGGGTTGAAAGCTCGGAGTTTCTTGGGTGTTCCTGGAATGGGTCCCCAGGGTGTTCCTTGGGTGTTCCTTTGGTGTTCCTTGGGTGTTCCTCGAATGGGTCCCTAGGGTGTTCCTTGACCCTTGGGTGTTCCTCGAATGGGTCCCCAGGGTGTTCCTTGGGTGTTCCTTTGGTGTTCCTTGGGTGTTCCTCGAATGGGTCCCTAGGGTGTTCCTTGACCCTTGGGTGTTCCTCGAATGGGTCCCCAGGGTGTTCCTTGGGTGTTCCTTTGATGTTCCTTGGGTGTTCCTTGGGTGTTCCTCGAATGGGTCCCTAGGGTGTTCCTTGACCCTTGGGTGTTCCTGGAATGGGTCCCCGGGGTGTTCCTTGGGTGTTCCTTTGGTGTTCCTTGGGTGTTCCTCGAATGGGTCCCTAGGGTGTTCCTTGACCCTTGGGTGTTCCTCGAATGGGTCCCCAGGGTGTTCCTTGGGTGTTCCTTTGATGTTCCTTGGGTGTCCTTGGGTGTTCCTCGAATGGGTCCTTAGGGTGTTCCTTGACCCTTGGGTGTTCCTTGAATGGGTCCCCAGGGTGTTCCTTGGGTGTTCCTTTGGTGTTCCTTGGGTGTTCCTCGAATGGGTCCCTAGGGTGTTCCTTGACCCTTGGGTGTTCCTCGTATGGGTCCCCAGGGTGTTCCTTGGGTGTTCCTTTGGTGATCCTTGGGTGTTCCTTGGGTGTTGCTCGAATGGGTCCCTAGGGTGTTCCTTGGGTGTTCCTTGGGTGTTCCTCGAATGGGTCCCTAGGGTGTTCCTTGGGTGTTCCTTTGGTGTTCCGGTGTTCCTTGGGTGTTCCTCAAATGGGTCCCTAGGGTGTTCCTTGGGTGTTCCTTTGGTGTTCCTTGGGCGTTCCTTGGGTGTTCCTCGAATGGGTCCCTACGGTGTTCCTTGGGTGTTCCTTTGGTGTTCCTTGGGTGTTCCTTGGGTGTTCCTCAAATGGGTCCCTAGCGTGTTCCTTGGGTGTTCCTTTGGTGTTCCTTGGGTGCTCCTGGGGTGTGCCTCGAATGGGTCCCTAGGGTGTTCCTTGGGTGTTCCTTTGGTGTTCCTTGGGTGTTCCTTGGGTGCTCCTGGGGTGTGCCTCGATTGTTCCTTGGGTTTTCCTTGGGTGTTCCTTTGGTGTTCCTTGGGTGTTTCTTGGCTGTTCCTTGGGTGTTCCTTGGGTGTGCTTTGGGGTTTCCTTGAGTGTTTCCCGGTGTTCCTCGAATGGGTCCCTAGGGTGTTCCTTGGGTGTTCCTTGGGTGTTCCTTGGGTGTTCCTTGGGTGTTCCTTGGGTGTTCCTTGGGTGTTCCTCGAATGGGTCCCTAGGGTGTTCCTTGGGTGTTCCTTTGGTGTTCCTTGGGTGTTCCTCGAATGGGTCCCTAGGGTGTTCCTTGCGTGTTCCTTTGGTGTTCCTTGGGTGTTCCTCGAATGGGTCCCTAGCGTGTTCCTTGGGTGTTCCTTTGTTCCTTGGGTGCTCCTGGGGTGTGCCTCGAATGGGTCCCTAGGGTGTTCCTTGGGTGTTCCTTTGGTGTTCCTTGGGTGTTCCTTGGGTGTTCCTTGGGTGTTCCTTGGGTGTTCCTTAATTTTTTGTTGGGTGTTTTTTTGGTGTTTATTGGGTGTTCCTTGGGTGTTCCTTTGGTGTTTCTTGGGTGTTCCTTGAGTGTTTCTTGGGTGTTTCCCGGTGTTCCTTGTGTTTTTTTTCCCCCCGAGTTTTTTGGGTGTTCCTTGGGTGTTCCTTGGGTGTTGCTTGGGTGTTGCTTGGCTGTTCCTTGGGTGTTTCCCGGTGTTCCTTGTGTGTTTTCGGAGTTGGGTGTTCCTTGGGTGTTCCTTGGGTGTTCCTTGCGTGTTCCTTGATTGTTCCTTGGGTGCTTCTCGGTGTTCCTTGTGTTTTTCGGTGTTCCTTGTGCTTTTCGGAGTTCCTTGCATGTTCCTTGGGTGTTCCTTGGGTGTTGCTTGGGTGTTGCTTGGGTGTTCCTTGATTGTTCCTTGGGTGTTTCTTGGGTGTTCCTTGGGTGTTCCTTTGGTGTTTCCCGGTGTTCCTTGTGATTTTGGGAGTTCCTTGGCTGTTCCTTGGGTGTTCCTTGGGTGTTCCTTGGGTGGTCCTTGGGTGTTCCTTGGGTGTTCCTTGGGTGTTCCTTGGCTGTTCCTTGGCTGTTCCTTGGGTGTTCCTTGGCTGTTCCTTGGGTGTTCCTTGGGTGTTCCTTGGGTGTTCCTTGATTGTTCCTTGGGTGTTTCCCGGTGTTTCTTGTGTTTTTCGGAGTTCCTCGGGTGTTCCTTGTGTTTTTCGGAGTTCCTTGGGTGTGCCTTGGCTGTTCCTTGGGTGCTTCTCGGTGTTCCTTGGGTGTTCCTTAAATGTTTCTTGGCTGTTCCTTGGGTGTTACTTGGGTGTTCCTTGGGTGTTCCTTGAGTGTTCCTTGGGTGTTTCCCGGTGTTCCTTGTGTTTTTCGGAGTTCCTTTGGTGTTCCTTGTGTTTTTCGGAGTTCCTTGGGTATTCCTTGGGTGTGCCTTGGCTGTTTTTTGGGTGTTTTTTGGGTGTTCCTTGGGTGTTACTTGGGTGTTGATTGGGTGTTTCTTGGGTGTTCCTTTGGTGTTCCTTGGGTGTTCCTTGGGTGTTCCTTGGGTGTTCCTTGGGTGTTCCTTGTGTTTTTCGGAGTCCTTTGGGTGCTTCCCCTTGCTCTGGCGACGCCCTTCAAACATCGTCAGTTGTTTGCTTGGCCAGAGGTCAACCTCGCCAAAACCTCGAGCTGAGAAGACCCCACTCCTGCCGCAGCCGCGCCACCAGCACGCCCTCCTGGCGTAAAGTCAAGGGTGCCAGCGGGATGGGCTTTTCAAAACCCAAATCGGTTAGCCCCCAGTGAGCATCCGATTCAATCTAACCACGAAAATAGGCTCTAACATGGGTGAATTCACCTACCAACCAAAATGGCACCATTGGTTTTAAGCCACAGCCAGGTGTCCTTCTGGCAAAAGGTCAGAACCAAGCTGACACCGCCTAGTTTTCAAACAACTGGCCTGACAAAGACAACGTTGGGCAGAGTCCAATGGTATCACTCGAGGACAAGCTAGACCACTTCTGGTTCACAGGGTCAGGCGACGATAGCAATGAATCTACTGCATGTCAAACTGCTAGGATGACGAAGACAACCACCTCAATCGTCCTTGTCTAGGTAGAGGTCAGAATAAGGGTACCCTTTTGTCTGTTTTTAGTAGGGGACCCCCCCCCAAAAAAAAAAGGGTTGAGAAGGGCACTACTGGGAGACCTACTTGTCCCCGAATGTGCTGCTGGAACCTATTGTCGCTTGGCCTTTGCCATCAGAGTGGCCGCACGAAATGAGGCAATTCCAAACACAGCAGCACCGTGGGAGCAACCCGTGGAGCAAGGCCTCGCGTCGAGACAAAATGAGCTCCTTGTTGAACAGTCAAAAGAAAGCTAGCCCTAGGAAAGGAAGGATTGCATGTGAACGGCGCAGCCTTTGGATCACATTTCGAGCCGCGAGGATGGAGTGTTGCAACAACGTCAAGCACTTCAGGCCTGTAGCTCATAGAATCCCTCGAGACTAACAGAGGCCCGAAAGCTCATTGCCCTCCGCTTTTGCGGGGATTGAGGGTGTCCTGAGAAAAGAAGCCCTTTTAAGACCGCGATTCAAGAGGAACAAAGCCGGAAAACAAGAAAGGCCTAAGTATGCTAACTCCTGCTGTTGCACACGCCCTGTTGTGTAGAAAGGCAAAGGCAACGCCGGTCCCGAGCGGGTATCAATGCGCCTGTTTTGCTCGACAATCGCAACTGATCGAAGTTTCTCCTTTGGAGGCTCAATTGTGAAACGCCGACGCAAACGGAGCTGGGCGCTTCTTGCTTCGGCCACGTCTTCATCTGAGTCTCGGCTTCCCCTAACATCCCAAAGCGTCGAGGACTGAATCAGCCGAGTCAAGCTTGCCATCTGAACCCATTGCAAGGAGAGGGGTTAAACGTTGGGACCCTTCTGGACTCTCCACATGAACAGCGAAAGGAAACACCTACGGCCAGCACTGTCTGAACGTGATGCTTACCACAAGGAGCCTATGTCATAGCTGATCCATATGCCGGCGTTTTCAAATCGCAACCTGTGCATCAAAGGAAGCACCCGAATAAATGTTTGTCCTGGACTTGTTGGATCTCAGAAAGCTATCTGGGGCTATGCACAAATCAGAAATCAGTTGCGAAGCAAAACAAATGAAACGCAAGTCGCAAAGAGAAATGTCAGGCTGTCAAAAATAGGGTGCTGAACCTGGTGACATGTTGTTCTGCATTGAAAAGAGGGAGCAAAAGTGAATCAATCACTTTGTCGACCCTCCTGAGAAAGGATGCACGAATCCTTGGAGCGCCAAACATGGCTCGATGGTGCGATCAGCTGAAGCAAGATAGAATCATTCCCAGCGGCCCAGCTGCACCACGCAATATTCGGCAGGAAGATCGATTGACAGTGACTGATTCAACACACACCGCGAAACCTTCGGATCACAGGGCTTCCTTATCTCAGAATGATCCAAAAGGTGATGTCTAGGCCAGAGATATGAAAGGAGCCCTGTCACTTTTTGAAACGTGCGAAAGCTCCAAACGTGGTTTGACAAATCCACGTCTTGCAATGCTTCCGAGATGAAGCCCCTGTCCAATCACGACGACAGATGCTGGTAAGAATTTCCAGCCATAGGGTTTCGTTGGCTGATATGCTGATTGCCTTGGCATCGGAACAAATGCCAAGGATTGCCAAGGCCTCCTGCCCCACCACTATGTGACACAGGCCCGCTTTCAACAATGTCATAAGATTTCTTTGTCGAAAGAGGCCGAGCTTGGAACTGGGTGGTCTATGGTTCCGGAAGGCTTCCGGCAACTTCTGGCAACTGCTCAGGTGTTGTAGCAGCAAACCTTCCTTGCGCCGCGTTTTCTTTCTCAGTTTTTTCCATTCCCTAAGCGGAATGTTGAAGGGGAAACCTAAATGTCCCAAAACTAGCAGAGAAAATATAGGCTCAGCTTTCGCCGTGGTTTAAACTCCGGGGCGTTCCCATGCAAGGAAGCTGCAAGCCATGGGCAACACATGAACGCTTCGGCCCGGCAATCGCCGAATCGCTGGGTGGGCCTAACATGTTGAAGAAATTGCTCCAACATCCCCAGATCAACTCCGTGGATCAGTCTTAGGGCCCAGAAATGCAAGGACAAGTAGGCTTTCCCAAATTCCGCCCTGGGCTCAAGCGCCTTCCGCTTGAGACCCAAAAGTTGGAGCCTGGGAAGCCGGGTGCCGACAAAACCTCTTAGGCGCTAGCACAGGGATACGAGGGACGGGTGGGGTGCAAGTGATGCAGTTGTAAGGTCCTACGGCTTGATTCCATGCCCTCTCTCTGCTCGTGCCTTTCGGAAACCAGCCATTTCATGGGGGAGTCCGAGGCTGAGCAGAATTGGTTTGGGGGTATGGCTGAACCCCTTTTCCAGATGCATTTCAAGGGAAGCCAAAAGGAAGCCACTGCGAAAAACCAGATTGTAGGAAACGTACTAATGAGCTAATATATTGCGGAAAAAAAGGAGAAGAGAAAATCCCCAAGTTTGAGTGACTTTGGTAATTTTGGGCGCACGGCGATTCTCATGGCCCAGGGTGAAATCTTGATGCCTGCAATGTCCCCGAGTCTCAAATGGGACCGAAGGGGGAACCGTGCTACAAGCAAGGAGGAAGGGTGAAATCTCCAAAAGAGAGAAGCAAGAACCACCAACATACCGACCAAAAGGTTGAATGCCCTGAAACAACTCGGAACGTGTGGGATTCTTCCAAGAGGCATCCTACACTTTTAGACCGCCGATCCTTTCCAATAAGCTAGCAGTCTTTCAAAAGGAGCCGGAGGGTAAACTCACTTCGTGAGCGGACTGGCCAACAAATGTCCAAACCTTTTGTTTGCCGCATTTTAGCGGTCTTCCCAAAAAGTTTGAAGTCCATAAACTCAGGGAGTGCGTAAAACAGGGAGCGGTTAGTAGAACCTGATCGAAGGGGCTCTGATTGACGGGTGCTCCAGAACCTTTCCGGAGATCTGGGGTCCAATTCTGCTTCTCCTCGGAGGGATACATCCTCGTCTCAACGGGCAGAAGGGAAGAATGAACGGAACCGAGGGCAAAATCGAATGTGCACCAAAGTAAATGTAGCAGATATGATGTGTCACCCAAGTAGATATCATACTGTGGATGGACGCAATCCTGCACCGCCTAAAGAACCCCCTGGAATGATGATTCTCCTGTAAAAACCACCAAACGTTCTGGTTTCAACCATGGTTCTTAAATGGCGCGAAATGGATTTTGCAACCATCCACGGTATCTACGGATGTCTTGGTTGCTTTCTGCTCCCCTGCTAAAAGTTGAACACTTTTAGTGGTTTAATACGGAAAACCCATTCGTTGGCAAAAAGTTAAAGTCCTAATATCCAAGCAAAATGCACCAAACATGTGTCACCCATGTAGATATCATATGTACCTCCAGTGAACATCCCAATCCCCACTAAAATAGACTAACATTGGTGGCGAATTCACCTACCAACCACCAAAATGGGATCCCCAAAACGGTTTTGACCCACATAGCTAGGGGGATAAAAAACTAGGTCCTCCAGTATAGAGGTTAGAATAAGTTGGTCCCAACTTTTTCTCTGTACTCTATTTCAGTAGGGGAACCCTCTCAACCAAATAAGGGGTGAGCAAAGGGCACTACTGGGCCAGATGCACCAGGGCCAGAATGCACCAGAATGCACTAAAATGCCCCAAAATGCACCAACATGCACCAACACCAAAATGCACCAAAATGCACCAAAATGCCCCAAAATGCACCAAAATGCACCAACATGCAGCACCAAAATGCACCAAAATGCACCATGCACCAAAATGCCCCAAAATGCACCAACATGCACCAAAATGCACCAAAATGCACCAAGTCGTGGTCGCCCACAAAAAAAAAATGGGGATCAAATCGAAGACCTATCCCCCGGTTCGGTTTTCCTCTCAAAGCCCGAGGTTCATCGTGAGCTCCTCGGCTCTCACGCCCTCCAAAAGCTCGGAGGGCGGCAGGGTGCGGCCGTTCACCTGGATGATCCGGTCGTGCGGCTTCACGCCGCCTCGGAAAGAGTCGTGTTTTCGTTTATGTTTATTATCCCCATAGATATGTGGTTGTCAAAACCGTTTTGGGATCCCATTTTGGTTGGTAGGTGAATTCACCACCCATGGAAAAGAACCTCTCTTTTTTCGTGGGGATTGGGATGTTCACTGGTACATATCATATCTACATGGATGACACATGGCCATGGGGCATAATCTATGGCTCCATTTTGGTGTATGGATCCTTTTAGCCCTATAGATACTGTGGATGGTTGCGAAATCCAGTTGGCACCATTTAAGAACCATGGTTGAAACCATTATGTGTGTTTGCTATTTACAAGGGGAATCATCATTCCAGGGCTTCTTAGGTGGTGCCGGATTTCGTCCATCCACAGTATTATAGATCTACATACAAACACGCAGGAGGAAAACACACACTAATATACATATTCACACTAATCATCTTGATGCTTCTATCTGGTTATCTGCCCCAAATCCTCCTCAGTACTTTCCTAAAGGTTCAAACACTCCCCTTAACCGGCAACATGACTGGGACCGCAGGCTTGTAGGCCCCGCGCCCGGGGCCTAGGATGGAAGTTTTGAATGAGTCTTTCCCCATACAAGATGGCGCTCCCTCTTTGGCCCTACCCCTCAAGAGCCTGCCAGATTCGGACGGTCCCCTCGGGTTGCACT